CGGGGCCTGGTCGTGAGGGGAGAAGGGCGGACTGGGCTCGGGAGAGCTGGGGAGGCAGCGGGGCAGCTCCCGAGGCTCCTCCCCGGCGCAGGACACGGACCGGGGCAGGCGGCGGCGGCCGGCGTCTGGTTTGGAGGTGGCGAAGGTCAAGGCGCCGTGTCTGACCGCTTTGAAACCATTTGATAGAGATTTGGGGAAATTTTACACCCATGGTGGAAAAAAGTGTCGTCCGGAGGCGGAAGGAGGGAGCAGCGTTCACCTGTCACAAATGACAGGAGCAGAGCTGAGATGAACCCGTTCTCCTCGGGAAAAAACTAACACGCTCCGCCACCCCCCCCTCAGGAGGGACTACGAAACGCCTTTCCGTTCAGGAGGGTTTTCACTATGCGATGTCACAAAACATGACCAGTGAGTAATTACACTTACTTACTATTTTGCACTGGGAAGAAAACACAAATAGCGTGAGTATTCAGTTACATCAGCAAAGCCTATTTCCTTTACGTATTTCTTTTTGCAATACTTGTTTATATTGAACATGTTTCCCGATGACCAGGTGCGAGGCTGCGGTAAAACCGATCCACTTGCCTGCTTCTAGCTGCAAAAACAAGCCAAGAAATGCAAGGCAAATGAAACTTCCAACAATTGGCAGTTTTGCTTAGACATGCTGCAAACTCTTGACAACAGTATAGATGAAGCAGCCAAGACCACAATAAATCAATCAAAATCGGAAGGCAAGTTAAATGTTGATGCCATAGCTGACACAGCTTCAGAAAAGAGATTTCAACCCATTCTAGTAAGTCTGTTGTCCTACAACATATGGCATTAAAATGAAAATATATAACAAGTTACACTGTTCAGGCATTCCAAGATGAAGAACTTGCCAATAAGAACACTGTATGTGGAACCTGCAAGATGTGAAAAATCCAGAAGCTGTAAGGCGTAAAGACATTAACGTGCTTGATCCAAATGGCTCTAAATCTCTAAGTCTTCACAAGTACTTCCACCTGTGAAGGATGCCCCTCCCAAGGATACTTCAGATCCTTCTTGGAAGAATACAAAAGCTATTATCTCTGAGAAGATGCTCAGTGGTACTTAAGCTGAGGTTGCTTCCTGTAGTCATGATGCTAGAGCAACAGAGCAGAAGGGTGAAAAAGGAGTTGATATCGAGAATGATAAAGTGAGGGGACAAAAAATAGAAATTAATAAATCATCGTTTATCTATAGCCATACAAAGGTCTCACTCCTGCATGAAGATCCTGAGCAGTTATACTGGCACATCATACAAAAGTATTGCAACTGTTTCTAATCCTACTGCTTTTAAGAAGAACAGTCATCGTGCCTGTATGCAGATTCCACATACAAAGCAAAACCAATATTCAAAACATGACATCCAGGGCTCTTTAACCGGTAACGTCAGGAACAGGTATGCTGAGGTCAAGGAAGAAAACGAATAAAAACTGCAGGAGGTTCCACTGCTTTCTGCACTGCCTTCCTTAACAGTCAGCCACGTTGTGGGAGATGCAGTGCCATCCAGACTGAACTAACATTTCCATGTTGGAATTTCATCCTTTTTTAAAAGTTTGTTAGACTGTAAGAAAAAAATTTCCTTGTGAGCAACGTGGATAGTTGTAGTTTTTGTAGCTGCTATTAATAGGATTATAAGCTGCTGAATGCCAATTACTTTGATGCAGGTTTAGTTTCTTCCTGTCTGTAAGATAGATTGATTAGAGCCTTAAATAGCTTATTCCGGGCATGAAGTGCAACCTCTTCATTTAGATTCACTCTGAATGTCTACGGTAGCCTGGCACGGTAATTGAGTATTTGATGCTGCTGAGCACTGAAGCGATGCCTAACTTTAGGAACATTCTTAAATCCATGCCTACTCCGCAAGGCATTTAATAATATTCTTAATTTAAACAGTGCTAAATCCTGTTGAGCTTCACAGACAAACATCTGCATCTATTCCTTGCTAATTTGGCACCTAAAAGAAATGGAAATGACCTGGAAAGCACACGGTGGTGAGACTGACAGTTACTTACAATTATTTTTTCATACTCCTTGTAGATTAATTTTTAAAATCCTGTTAATGCGTTCTTGGTTTGTTTCTGTTTAATATGTAATCTGTGCATTATGATAGTCACTGATTCTTGTTTCATCTCATACTGAGGGACTTTTTCTTTTGTGTTAAAAAACAAAAGAGCCGTCTTTCCATAGATACATAGGTAACTGCAGTTCAGCACAGAGATTTACTGCAACTCACCCTTCCCCTCTTTTGATGCTTTGATAAAAATTTGGAACAGGGAAAGATAATACCAGTGCAGGGCTCCGAATAGCATATGGTTTCCACTTTAAAACAGATGAAGGAATGCAATATCTTTTTAGTTTTATTTCTTTAGTAATAAACGTGCATAAATGTAGTTTTAGTAGTTTTCTGGCATCAGTTTGTTGTGTTCATCTTCAGGTATCTCAACATGAGAGCTAAAGAATCATCACCTTCCAGAGGCATAGTTTCAGTAAAATAGGTGATATGTAGTCTATGTATCTAAATATGTGTTTATTCCTTTAAAAAATGGAAGGATGACAGGGCTTCATCTCTTCACCCAATACTCAAGTGAAACGACCTCTAGAGAGGAACACAGGAGCTGAGTGCTAGTGTTAAATAACAGCTCCAAGCAGTTTGCTTTGTCTCTAATACAAATTTTCCTGGGAATTGCTTAGGGAAATCTGGAAATTTTTTAGAACATTCATTTGCATAGAAAGTATATTACAATACTTTAAGAAGCATATCTTTAAGTAGAGTGACATATCGGCTTCAGGTGCAGAGTATGCGAGTTGTCGCACTGGAGGTTAGAACAGGGCCACCGTTTTTCTGGCAGCAAATGTGATTTTTCCAGCGCGGGTAGTTCTGTGCTGGAGGGAGGAGTGCCACCTGCCGAACGGCGACCGAAACACGCACCCGTGCCACAAAGCACAAGGCTGCTGGCAGCGTTACTGTCTGCTGCATTCCTTCACTCTTCCTCAAGAACAAAAGCTAAACTTTTCAGCCTGAAATAGCAGTAATATTTTGTACCTGTTTGGTATTTTGCTGCAAGTCAAGAGGGAAAGTTATAAAGTACATATTCAAAAGTTACACAGGTCTTAAAAATAGGTCATTATAGCTGATAATATTATCTATATGCATCTTTTACCTCTTTCAATACTCTGGATATCTGCAAATCTCTGCCAGTGCCTGCCTGGAGACAAGCTCTATCTTGGTTGTTCCAGGAAACAGGGTTTTTTTGTTGTAGTAACTTGTCCTACTGCTATTCAGTTACAGTGCTACAGTCACACAAGTGCAGTATCATTACGACAGAACAGACACCCCCTCTAACATACCATTTTCCTCCCTTCTTTGTACCCATCCCTCTATGGTAATATATTTTTTGCATCCTGTTTTTCATATTTAGATATAAAATGCAAGCTCTACAAAAGAAGCATCCTTCACAAATAGCCCCAAGATAAATAAATTCATATATACTTATTTCAGTCCCGTTTTCCACTAAATAAAAAATTCAAACATATATGTACCTGTGAAACTAGTAACATTTTCCATAGTCTAGAAGGAGAGATGATAGTCCCTCCCATTCAGACAACTGAAAATACTGCTGCTTCAGTGAGAAAACTGAAAAATAAACTGCATTACCAATTAACAGGAAGTAAAGCCAAACATGTTCATTATAGTAATTATAAGTTGCAGCCATTGCAGACAGGTAGCAAATTCTTTAGGACTACAGAAAAAAAAAAATGTTTAAAGTTGCAGGGAAAACTATAAACTTTATTTCCACATTTTCCAGTGTTTCATGCCAGGTAAGATTTTTGCGGAGGTTTCTGAAACTGTCAAATCAGACAGATTAGACAGAGGTTTTACTGCAGCCTGACACAAGATATTTGTAAGAACCACCCTCGCAGATTACTGCGATAAGACCTGTAGCAGAAGACCAGAAAAGCTGCTAACTAAAGGCCCAGAACATAAAGGAATACACAACACTTAAGCTTAAATCACGTGCCCTTGAATACACTGGGTTCTTCTAGCACAGGAAACACCAGCTTCTTGTTTACGTGTAAAATCTCTCAAGAATAAAGCCATTCCTGTTCAGGAAGGGAAATAAATTTAAGGGCTAGATCAGCTAGAAGTGCTTCCTGTATTCAAGTTGCCAAAACAAAACAAGCAAAAGGGGAATTGTTGACAACAATGTAAAAATACAATGATGGAACACCTGAAAGTTAAATCAACATTTTTGCCCTTCTGTTTTAGGTCCAAACTTCCAAAGGACTGATTCCAGAGGACTCACTGTCAAATCCTGGAGCCAGAAAGAAAATCTGCCTCTAATTCCATTGTTTTGACACAAAACAATCAGCTTGCCAGCATGCAATTTCTTTAAGTGAAGGAAATTCAGAACTAAACACAAAGTGGTCAGGGATGTTTTCACTGCCAGCAGAAGAAATAAGTGAATTCTCAGCAATAGCAAGCAAAAAAATAGTTCAAAAATACATGAGGCTTCCCTTCTAAAGAGCCATTATCATCTTCTCAATTGAGAGTTAAAGTTCATCCTGCCTTTTACACTGTCTACCATTTGTGAAAGTTTCATGAGGATCAGTCTGTCCAAGTACGACTTTTGTCCATGAGCCAAATCTGTTCTGAATAATGAAAAGCCTGAAATAACAGCAAAATCATCCCTATGGTAGGAATAGGGCTATTATTCCTAAAAGGATGGTCAGCATCTTATACATTTGACTCTTCCCTAATTTTAAATGTTCAGAACAGGAATTTATTTTCTAGATACAACGTACTCCCCTCTGGAAGTATCTTTCATATTTTCCTGCCACTAGGGCTGAGCGGTGCCTTGTGGAAATGCCTCCCTCCGAGTGTGACAGGACTGGGAACAGCAGCCTCTATACAGCAGAGAATGTTTCAGGTGTGACTGTAGCTGATGTAAGGGTAGAACTAGGAGCATCTGCTTGTTCGCCCACTGAATTATATATTAAGATAGACAGGTAACAGTAGAAATTAGCATTTTGTATTTTCCAACTAACAGAAAATGGTGGGATTTTTATTAAGCATGGGAACTGTACAGGAAGAAAAGAGACAAAGTATGATCCATGCTTCAAATCAACATATGCTAGCTTTTTTTTTTTTTTTAATATTCATAGTGGCAAAAATTATTTTCTCAGTTATATAAAATATATTGCAAAATAATAAAAGATGTTAGAGAGGACTGCAATTTTCTAGTACTTTAAAAACTAATCATCATAATGTAGTTGAATTTCTACTTGATGTTACTTATGACTAGAAATCTTGAAAATTACAGGAGGGGTAGATGATAGGGTAGATAAAGAATGTAAAGTAATCCTGTCCTGAGAGTCTGTTGTAAAAGAAAGGCCTCTGTCAGTGAGCTGAAACCACAGAGATATTGCATTGTGCATACAAGGTAACTACAGACTTAAGTTTTGCACCCACTGCTGAGAGGTTTGAGATGGAGCACAACTAGTGCAGCCCCAGCCTCAGTGCTGCTGGTCAGAAGAACCCAGTGCTGCCCATACACATCAGAGTCCACACCAGTCTATGCACAGGTTCACTTAGAGCAGAGACCCTCTCGAGTGGATTTGTTTCAGGTTTATGACTCTTGACATTCCAAACACCTTTGTGTTGCCAGTTTAAACTTCTGAGGATTCACTGACAAGCAGGACTACACAGGAAAACTTTTGCTGCCTCTAGAGATCAAGGGCTGACATTGTAGAATAGTTTTAATTTACAAAATCTCTACCAATTCAAAAGACACCTAGCTATCAAAAGGTAAGGTGCTAAGGAGCAATGGGTGGTACTTACCAACAGGCACTGAGTACCCCACCCATGCCTCTATAGGCAGGAGATCACAGCCATTAAAACAGAAGGCAAAAAATGATTGAAGTTAACTTTATTCCAAAATATGTATAATTTACAGGACTAAATTAAGTGCTTCATTTGTGAACAAAACGTTTCAATACTTGTGAATAACTTACTAGTCGCTTTGCGTAACACTTCAGTTTCCAACAGAGGGAAATATGAAACAGTATTTTGGCACAAGGTTTTCTCTGCATGCATTAATATACTTAAAAGTTTCACAATTACTAGGACAACATTCCTTCTTTGGGATTGTCTCAGAATTTATGCTTGCTTTTGTCCGCTCATCGTAAGTTCACTGGCTTAAATAACAAGAATTAAACATGGACATCCTTTGAAAACTCAATTTGTCCACTAGATCAAAATCCCACCAGTGATGAGAAGAAAAATATTTTAAGGACATTTCTCATCCTTTTTGAGATTCACTCACACATGCCTTGGGAACGACTCACCCATGAGATTTATTACTCATCCATTCTAAATAATTACAAGTTTAATTTAGATCATAATCAGGTGTTGAGTTCTGTAAACTGAAGAAAATACAGCTGTCCTTCATATCTAGCTTTATCATAGATGCACTTGTAAATATCTGTAGATAGAAGTGCTGTCAATCTAGCTCTGCATGCAAATGCTTGAAGCATGCATGTAAAGCATTAGTTGTTGTGCAGTGTACAGTTTACATCATCACAAGTCATCTATTATATTCCATTGCTAGTTGACAATACTGCTGTAAAGCCAGTATATGAAAAAGAATCAGAAGTAAAGACTTTCTGCTGTTTAACTCAGCAGTTCGTTCAGGAGTTCCCACTGTGTCAGGCTGTCCGATTACATTTTTGGTGAAGTGGAAGAGTCACGTGCACTAATACAAACATACCCTCAACCTGGCTGCAGGGCAGCGAAGAGTTGAATGACGTAGTTCCTTGATTCTGTTCATTGCATAGCAATGGCACTTTAAACAAGAAAATTCAGTCATGCTCTAAGCAGCAAATTCTTCTAGCACACATTTAAGTTCACAGCAACTGTTAAAAAACAACAAAAGAAACAGAAGATGCCCGTTTGCACCATGCACTGATGCTTGCTACCATGAAACAACCCTGTCCCCACAGTGTTCATATAAAGTTACTACTGGAAGTCCGCTGACTGTAGGCCTGTTCTACTAAGAACACAAGCATAGCAGCACCTTAAACCAAACGTGAATGAAAAAGCTTGCAAGGCCCAGAATGTTGACAACATTTTGGTGTGAATGTATTTGGAACAGCAAATTGTACATTAAGATCATGTTTAAAAAAACCCAGCACGTCAGAAATATATTAAAGCACAGGAAACTGTACAACCTTAATGATAAAGGCAAGTACATTTGGTTCACTTCTGAGTTGTCATTTCAGTAACGTATTCTTTTGCAAGTTGAGCACCCTATGTTGATTCAGTATGTATGAGTCCTACTGACTTCCCCTATATTTGAAAGATTATTAAAAAACCCCTAACACCCCAACATCCCAATCCTGCCAACACTCACATCTCTACCCAGCCTCACAAAAAACCCCCCCAAACAACCAATTCAGATCTGACTAAGCGCGTGAGCATGTGTTAGCAGGATAAGGATTTAAAACCGTAGAAGGCAGACGTCTTTCTTTGTTCTGTTGCCTCTACACAATTAAGGTACATATGACTAACAAGGAAATTCAGCCTTTTGTTTTTAACAGAAAAAATGACTGCGTATGTGCCTTGGAATTAAAATTTGTAAGGAGTGTTAGTTACATAGTAAGTTACAGACACCGATTCAATTGTTCAAAACCAGATGAGGTCTCACAAGGCTTGTTTTACAGCTGTTTAATTTACAGCTGCAAGTATACATATGTGTATAAGATTTCATATCCTTTGGAAGTGAAAATTTTCTAGACACAAGCAGCTTTGCATAGCTAAGAATACGTAGCGTTAGTAAACTCTGATTTTACACTACCAATTTCTCTAGGCTGACATGAAGAGCTGGGGGAGGATTCCCTCCCTACCCAAAGCAGAAAGAAGTATTTACAAGTGTATTAGCAGAAACAGATGCAAATAAAGCCAAAATTAGAAGAAACATATATCTAGCGACATACAAGCTTTTAGCATTGTGACAAATATGAAAGGCAACAAGACAGACCACTCATTTTTCAGCTGTTTTGTGCTTATGCTCTCATAGAATGCGTGTCCCAAATTTGTTTGGTTCTTTTATGTACTAAAAAAAGCTCAAGTGAAACTACAAAACTACCAATTCAGTTTTTGAGTAGCATTACACAGGCATCCATTTCAAGATCCAGCAATCACAGCATAACAGAATTCAGCAGGAAATGCAGAGAGTAAGTACAAGTAACATTAGTATCACTTCCAGATAAAAATTTGTGCTAAGAGGCTATGGAGTATCTGATGTTACTTCTTGTGTAGCAGTTAAAATGGCAGTAGAGGATACAAAGAAGATAAGCAAAGTACTAAGTCACTGCTGACTGATACTTAACAATAGAGACAGTGCCTTGAAAATCAGAGGCAAATTGCAGAAAAATGGAGATAAGTATAATTTTAGTCCTACCAAGAAATAGTTTGGACTGAAATTTATTTTTAAAACAATGGCCAAAAAAGAAAATCAGCCATTTTAAAGAGCTTGTTCAAATGTGAAGAATTCATAATATTCAGCAACAGTATCTCAGATCATGTTTCATTACATTTACTGTGGGATTCAGCAAACTAAGAAGTCTGGTTGCAGTCTTCACATTTTCACAAAAATACTTATGTATGCAGCAACATAGGATCCAAACTTGTTTCTGACTTTTATGAATAATTTGGAGAAGCAAATTTGTGAAGAAGCAAGCTAATTTTGGTCAGAATGATCCACTTCCCTAAAGAAATGCAGGCATATTTAATAGTTTCTTAATACTGCACTTTCAATAAATAATTTCATGTTGCAGTACTGTGTTCACCTAACTAAAGTTCAAGTTATTTTAAACACACTGGATGAGGGAAGGGAATCATATTTGCATATTCTAATAAAATACACAAAACTCATGAGTACTTTTAATTACAAAGTACAATAAATGAGTAACATTTACATTGTAAGATTCTGTCTACACAAGCTTTTTTTTTCCTGATAGTCACTGATGTTGAGAGCTTTGGCTTATACCCTAAGAGCATGGCAATTCTCATTCCGATTTGTAAATTAGTTTCAAAGTTCTTTAAATGCTAGCTGCTCTCAGATGGCTACAATTCAAAGCCATCTGTAATTCTGCTCCTCATCACCCAAGATTCCTTCTCTTGCAGGAAAAAGACAGACTTTCTAAATTCAGAGGTAATGAACAGTTTCTCACTTCTGCCTTCTACAGCTGGGGAAAATGCAGTTTTCCCCAATCAGATTTATAGTAACTGCTCCTCTTTCATGCGTCAGTACTGACAACTTGCACGTGGGAAACACAGAAGCCTACATATGAAGAGATGTTCTCTGGTATTCCAGCCAGGGGGAAGAAAGGAGAAGGGAAAACACTTTAAAACATGAAGAAGCAACATTACTAGAAAAGGAATGCAATAAATTAACCTAATTTTGTCATTTATTTCCTACTTTCAAAGGAGGCAAGTAAATATGAATCAGTCATATCTTCAGAAGAAACAGAATTACAAGCAAGGCCTTCCTTTAATTAACATATCCCACCTTTAAGATCAGAACTCTAGGTACTGTGAAACCTGGGGGAACTTTCCCCAAAGCAGAATTACTGTACTCCTGGGGAGAACTGCAAGATTCCTTTCTGCAGTTTCTTCAGCTAAAGACTGGAAGTATCTGAAATCACAGCTAGAAATGTTGAAAAATTAAACAGGCAACAACAGCTGTGGTTTCAGGAGGAAAATACGAGTTTCAGGGTTAATCTAAAGAGATTATTTACAGTAAAAGTAGAGCTGCTTATCATATTAGTGTGTTAACTACGGCAATTTAAAGAGTGGTAGGAAGAGACAAAAAAAAAAAAAAGAGGTAGTGCTCATTTTCAAAACAAGCTAGCTGCAATGGATGAGTAACTTAACTCCCACTCCTTGCTGAGCATATGAAGCACAAAACAGTGAGTCTTCAAAAACTAAGGCTTGGACACACATTTACTGATGAGCTGCCTAGTAAATACACAGCCAATGCCTCTCCTCTCACAGTGGATGAGTAAAGTCTGTTACAGGCCCAGGAACTTGACATGAAGGGGTTTCTCTTTTCATTTAAAGTAACAGAAACTAAAACCCTCCAGGACAAAACCAGAGGCCTACATTTTGCAGGTATTATAGTAAGAGATAAAAATCAGTTAAGGCCAAATTCCAATGTACATTCACAACTGGCTTAATTTTTTTTTTCCATGCAAATGAAAAATACCACAAACAATGGTATGAGGGACAAGATGAATATTAAAAATTCTAAGAGGTCATGTCTTTTCTCTGAAAAATCAGTTTGTTTGAATTTGACTATTCTCAGGAACTGAGGGCTGCAGATCAATGTGCAAAAGCAAGACACTGCTGTTCTGAAAGGGCTCTGTGAGATGATTTCCCAGCTCTGTTGTACAGATTCCAATTGGTTTTGGAAGCAGAAAGTCCAAAAAGGGGAGTCTAGGTGACTATTTTAGAGAATTTAATTTCCCATTTCTAAAGATTTCTGCTAATGTCATAGAGGTATGAATTAGTTTTGACATTTTTCAACTTATATCTTAATAAAGCTAGAAGAATTTCAGTGAAAACAAATTATTCCAGTCTTTAAGGCACACGCATTGTAACATCCGCATCTTACAGACAGAAATAATTTAAGCAAATTCCTCCTGAAGATTCTAAAATGTTAGTCCCATTTATTACACTAGCTAAATGGACAACATACTAAATTTCCCTATAATTATGTATTCCAAGTTCTCTTCCTACCCTTCAAAGGGCATCAGTGCCACTCAGAGAAAAAAAAAAATTTAAAAGTACTGCTTTCTACATATTTTTAATAATAAATATATTCAACAATTCAAGAGTCTGTATGTGTCTAGTGTATTGGACAGTTTTGTGGAAAATACCAACTTATGCAGGAGAAAGAGCTGTGAAGACATAAAGTAAAAGAAGACAATACAGCTTATTATGTTCACGCTGGATTTAAAATACAAGCTACTAAAAAAAGTAAACAGAAGTAGCTTACACTAATAGAATCCTCCCCCGTAAGTTCAGGGAAGCATCTTAATTGGACAGGTCAGGGTTTTGGTCCAGCACACTGGAACCCTGTAAGTAAGCCAGGAACAGATAGATATATAGGACAGAACAACTTAAAAAAAGTTATTCTGTTTAAATGAAAGCAGTATCAGCTTTGTAAAGAAGTCTGAGGAAAAAAACATAGGCACCACATAATTTTTTTTTTTTAAGGTTCAAATGTATAATTAACATGTGACAACCCCCCCTTATCCCCATTTATACACACACACAGCTTATGTAGTTACATATACAATAGAGTACCTTCAGGATGAAAAGTCTCTTAGGCCAACTGCTCAAGATAACTACATTCAATAATGCAAAGTGGCTGACTCGGTCAAGCCATCTCTCCCACCCCAATAACTTAATTTCAAACCACAGGAAACAGTTATATTACGTAGTACTCAATGGCTGGGCTTGTCTGAGCTCTGAAACAAGGAGCACAGCTCTTCACAGGTCTGTGTTTCTACTGAACTGAACTGGGACTCCATTGTATTCCAGGCTAAGTCAGCCAGAAGGAAGTCATCCATTGCTGTCTGTGTCTCATTGCTGGTAAGGAATAAACTCCCTAGATTCTCAAAGCAGCTATCCATAGTCTGTGTTTCAGTGCTACTGAGCTGGACTTTGCTTTCAATATTCTGAGTAGGTGTACTTTTAGTAGCTGGATATACTTCTGTCTGGGTTTCTGTATCAGATGAGTCAGTACTCATGGAGAAACTAGACTGCTTCAGAATATTTCCTAAAGGCAGATGTGTATTACTGTCCAAAAAGAAATTCAAGTCTGTCTGTGTCTGTGTATCAAACATCTCCAAACCTAAGAAGTTAGAATTTCCTCGGCAGCTATATGATTGAGTGGCACTGTCTGAAAATAAGAAATCAGTCTGAGTTTCAATGTCCAGTGACTCCAAAACTGGCTCAGAGTTTAGGGTACCAAGCTCACTCTCTTCAGTCTGAGTTTGGATATTGGATGCTGAAAAGAACTCTTCGATGTCAAAGTCTATTCCCGTGCTCTGTGATGGACCAGATGGCAGATGCGTGTCAGCATTAGAACTTGTCTCGGACAAAAGGCCACGATTATCCAGTGTCTGGCCAGACATGTTTCCTGAAAAGATGTTTTCCAGATCACTTAGTAGGTCCATTGTCTGGGTTTGATTATCCATCGTATTTTGAGGTGGAAGTATATTAGTCTGTGTATTGAAGCTGATAAGGGATTCAGACTTCACCGTATCTTGATTCAGGCTCTTACAAGTACTCCTTTGAAGCAAGGTTTGATCTATATTTGCAGGCATTAAATTGTTTTCTGGAAGTTCGATGTGAGTAGAAACATTATATGATGAATGAACGTTGTCAAAGATATCACCGCACATTACAGCCTGGTCCATTTGCACTCTGCCATCAAGAGAGTCCTGTGTCCTACTGGTCTGAGTCTCCCTAGAAATGCCACACGTTGGAAAACAAACCTGACTGAAAGCGTCAGTCTGAGCAGCTATGGATGAAGTCAGTCTGGAAGCGGGCAGCAGCGTCTGAGTTTGCACACTGATGGGTAACGAAACCTGTGAACTGAATGACAGGTCTGTCTGAGAGCAAGAGGATACAGAAGAATTGGGAGTCCAGGCTGCAGCTGGTACAAAGTTCTGTGAAATACAAGATAAGTCAGTCTGTATATTTATTGAAGAAATTTTATTCTTGTGACAAACATTCCCCAGCTCTTGCCCTGCGTTATTCGATGTAAATTTATCCAGCTCAACTTGTACACCAGTGCTTACTGGTTCATGATCACCAGAATTTGTCACTTTTGAAACAGGCATACTATCTTTAAATACAAGTGTTTCTGCCTCCAGTGCTGGAATCAGAATTCCTATAGATTGAGGCAATAAATGAACAGTACTTACAACTGAACCTTGATTATCAACAGCCACTACAGCAGGTTTGACAGAAGAGTCTGTTGCAGATACATATATAGGCAAGTGAGCGAGCTGCATCACTGGAAGTTTAACCAAAGCCACCTTAGGCTTTGGTAGAAGCATCTTCGGTGTACTTCTTGGCTGCATTTGGTTTGTGAAGTTAGAACTGCAGGAGCCTTCAAGAGAGGCCACTAGTTTCACTTCAGAGGACTCCAATTCCTGAGTGCCAGGATTATTATTGCGTGTACTGATGAATGCTTCATTTGCTTTCTCTGCCAGCTGCTGATTATGTATGGAGGTTTCCATTTTCCTTTTCTTACTTGGAGGATCCCTGTGAACATGAGATCAATAATTTATACTCCTTTCAAGCACAAAACATCTGCCTTCCATTCTTTCGAGTCACTGCATTGAAAATATAAACTCAAGTCACAGATAAGGTTGGATATGAGAAGACAATTAATCCTGATTAAAACATAAAAAGACTCCACGAACTTCAGTTTTTTTAGAATTTCAGTCCTCACTCTCCCACTTAAAAAAGAAAAAAGGGTTCTCTCTTTTATGGAGACCTATTTCTAAATGGAGGTGAAGTTTAGATGGTTTCTGCCCCCTTGTACATTAAGCACTCTGATTTGAAGATGTTTAATTTGTTACTTTGATGCTGACCCAGACTGAGCATTGAAGGGACAGTGCTCTTAAAATGGTGTCCAGGTAAAGACTTCTTATGGAAAGATACACTCCTTCACACAAAACTTAGTTTTGCAGCAGTTGAATCTCGCAGACAGACAGGATAGGCCTCAGAAAACAGATCACCCTTTGTGAAATATATGTACACATTAAGACAACTATAAATCTAAACATGCATATATAGGCATTTAAAAAAAATACTACTAACACTGGCAAAGATGACAGACTATAAAAAAACCCCAGCTGAACTCTATAGTTACCACCTATAAGTATTTCCAAATCATCTCTGCTCTCAGAGAACTGTAAAAGCAGATGCAACAGGAACTGCTAGTGTTTATGCCATGCAGTGCACTTTTATCAGTACTTTTTGTTTTATGTGTGGAAATCTGATCTTATTGATCAGACGATCATCATTGCCTTCAAAAAACCAGAAACTACTAAAAGCAACAGAACAAAGAAACTGCAAACTTCTTTACAGCTAAAACAATGGGAGTCTATTTCCAATTTAATTAACAGAAAGGAGTCAAAAAGCTAGTACATGGGAGACAGAGAACTTGGTGATGAATGTAAGCATGGTTACTTCACTGCTTCACTTTTACCTGTGTTCTGCAGGAATTTCATGGCCGGTTCTGTAAATATGAGACAGTAATGCTGTTCTGCTGGCATAAGGGCACCCACAAGTACACTGGAAAGTCTTGCCACAGACCTCTATGTGCCGTTTCAAATACCATTCTGTACCATAGGAGTTACTACATTTATCACATTTGTGCTTCTTTTCAGCATGCATTTTCATAAAGTGCTAGAATACACAATGAAAAGTATATTAGCCTTCAGCTAAGACAAAAAAAGAGAAAATAATCTTTAGGGGAGACATTAATATTTACTTTTCTTTTGTTGTTAAAGAGCCTTGAGTAGAATTAAATATTTTTTAAACTCTCATTAGGAATGCTACAAGCTTAAAGAAATTAACAGAAATAATTTAAAACTTGCAAATCTGCTTGTGCTATTTGCATCTTAAAACACAGATAAACATTTATGTGTCGTAATGCTATTGGAAGTTTTCTATGGACATTAACAAAGCTATAGCTCAATCTTGCCAAAGAGCATATTAAGTGTATGTTGCAACATGTGCACACTCCTGAAAATCTACAACTGAGCAAACAGTCTCAATTCAAACAGGTCACCTTCAGAGCAAACACCAAGGGGTAGCTACTCATCTCCTATGGTCTCCCCAGCTTAGCACAGGTAACCAAACTGCAGAAGAGTGCTTTTTTCACTCATTCATGCCAAAACAAGTCTTACATGTTTTCTTAAACAGATAAATAGTAAAAAAAAAGCATTTTGATATTAAAGCAGAGAAAAACTTAATTCCTGACCATCTGAAAAAGCAGTTTAAAACCATCAGCCACATTTTAAACCCTTATTGGTTGCTACTGTCATTTTTTCCTCCTCTTTGATCTTTCTCCATCTTTTTAACTTGTAGAGAGGGGCTGTCTTCTGGTTTAGCAGAACATACTGGCATCTGCCTAATCTAAAGGTCCAAGTCTGCTAATATCAACATGCAAATTCATTAACCATATGCCCATGTGGAATTTCTGCATACAGTTCTCCAACTTCTGGATATATGCTGAGAGGTTTTGCTTATACTGGAATGCAGAAGTGCACACACTCTCTGGAGTAAAGACAGTCAGGACTAAATCAGTATAAAAATACCGTAGGAAATAGGAATACCTGTTTTACAAGAGAAAATTGGGAAAATGGTCTGTTTGGTCCTCTAGGGCAGCCTTCAATAGGACAGCAGTAGAATTTCTGTGAAGTTTTCAGACCCTTCCTTATTGGTGCATTAATTTTTCCATCCTGAAAAAGAACCAATAGAGAATTTGACAATTCTACAGGTTTGTGTATTAAAGACAACATTCAAAATACACATCAACTTTGGCTCACTAAGTTTACACACCTCCATGAGTTGAAGACACTTTCCCAAGTGCCAAGAAAGTTCAAGTGCAAACATACCATCAAAATTACCAAGTGAAATTACAACAAGCTCTACAGAGTAGTGGTACTGTACTATTTACTTTTACCAAAGTACTTGCTGCCCCAAGCCAATTATAACTGCCTTTTGTGTTATTTGAGCAAAACCCCTTTTCCTACAGATACTACACTACACTTTCCATTCAATGTGGTTTTACTTGTTAGTAGCACAGCCTACTTGAAGCTCCATTAAAATTACTCACACACTGTAACAGAACACTTCCCTGATGCTGGAATCCTGTTGGCACTATTTAAACTTTACTTGTAATAAAATGAAAAATGCCAAGTACACTCTGCTACTTAATTCAGATCATAAATCAAATCTCACTTAAGTCTATGAAACTAAGAACTGGTATGCTAATTCTGAACCTCCAAACCTTAAATGACAGGCATACATGCACCTTCCATGTGATCTGCCTCACTCACGCATACACAACAGAAGCAAGCAACATAACTTGCTCAGAGGACCTCAAAATACGTATGAAAAGGACATACTGGTGGGATTGTCCAGATTGTTCAACCACATAGAACCTATTCCTATTGAGGACATAGCCATGGAAACCAGACAAGATGTATCCCCCTAGACATACCCTGTCTGAAAGAGTCTCAGTGGAAACACCAAGCACCTGTGTCTAAGGAAAAAATGAAAAGTGAACTATTAAAAATCTGATGCTTGGAGTAGCCGTGAGTCTCCTTACATCCTGAGTAGGAGGCCGACCAGGTCCCCAGAGCCAGTCACACTAGTCCACGATGGCATCCCCAAGATGATTAATCAGGGAAGAATTACTGGAGCATGCCCTGTTTTGAGCTCTGCACCTGATTTTCCTTGGCGTGACGGCAGTGACAGTAAGCACAGTTAAGTGATAGAATGTTGATTTTACACCAGTCACTCCCTAACCTTCTTCGGGCTGATCTGCAGCAAACATAAATGTAGATACAAAGTGCAACAGTCCTCCCTGGTGAAGGAAACAAAGTATGTACCACGGCTGGCAAAACACAAAGGGGTTCACTGCTCACCCTCCTGCTTCTTGCCTAGCTACAGTTGGGCACAGCCCAACTACTCTGTGCTGAGCTTTTGAAGTATGCATTTGCACTTCAGGAATACTATGAAGCACATGAGCAGGACACTTCAATCATTTTGTGTTTCCTCAAATCATCTCTCAATCGAAGATACTCTGTGTAAAATGTAGTCCCTTCAAAGCAATATTTCGGTTACATTTCCACACACTCAGCACCGCTCCTTGCTGATGCTGCCACAAGTTTGGTTTTGTTAATGACATACCATATGCAAAGAAGCAAAGTTTAGAGCCTCTGGACCAAAATAATCACCTGCCATTTCGTCTAGAAAACCTGGAATAATTATCTAAAAAGGGAGTTTTAACCTTCTAAGCATCTCTGTTTGCAGCAGTTTTCCCCGTGGACAAACGATTCATAAACAGGCCTGTTTTATCTCTGCTGAAAAATTACTGTGATTATTTGTGCCCCTCCTAAAGCCACTGGCCAAAACAGGAATATGACTCAAAGAAATCTAGTTGTTCCAGCCATACTACCCCCAATTACACTTTTTAACTCTGAGTCTACCCTGAAACACTCTGGCCAGTCTCAAAGTCTTCAGGAGAGAAAAAAAATGCCTTTAAGTCAAAGTTACATTTGGTCTCTGGGAGTGACTTATTCTTAAGTAAGAAGTTATTCAAAGTGTGTTGTATTTGATGTCACAACCCAATAAATGCCAGGGCAACATGTTCAGGCACTTAACAGGTAACCACAGTCAGGTTATTTAAAACTACTTAAGTACTAAGGTACAGAATAAACCAAGTGTTTAAATGCTATAAAAACATAGGACACTTTTAAAACAGCTAGAACATAGACTTTCAAGGCACAGATCAGAGTCTGTGTTGAGAGATACTCCACACATAGAAGTAAGCCTATTCAGAGAGTAATCTTGTTTTGACCATTTTCAGAGTCCTCCTGGTTCTAAATGGTTAATCTTATATAACAAAAACCTGTCTGGCCAGTCATATTTCAGCATTTCTCACAAGTCTTTTCCTTGTATGTCTGATTTTACTCCCCATGTCTCCATAATAACCACCCACCACAATCACTGGTAGATATTTGTTAAATTCTCACAACGCAGACACTTGTAGGGAATACTGACATTCGAACTGGGCTTGTGTAACACAGAAACCGGGAAGTAAATCCTCACTACTGATTTAGTCAAGGTGAACGTAGTGACATCTTGCTTTCCTGAAACAGGAAGGCCTACTCCAAAGGATGAATTTAAAACAGTAAGTTTCAGTAAACTGTAGCCAACTATTTAAAACTTTTTTTTTTTTTTTTTGCAGCAGCAGATCATGCATTTCTTTACTAAACAGCAGAGAAAAGTGCGTTTATTCTTATTATAAAAACTACTGTGGTAGTAATTTGGATAACACACCCCAAGGGTAAGCTACCCTTTCCAGTCCACCACTGACTACAGCCTCCCTGCTATCATAGGAATCCACAGAATTTTTTCCTTTACAGGAACTCCTCTAGCTTAATTTTTAAATTGCATGTAAGTCTTCCCCTTCCACCCATAAAATAATACAGACAAAAGAAATTTTAAAAATGTCAAGTCTAATATATTAAAATGTCAGTTTATACTCACTGTTCTCATTTTTCATTAGCTTATTTAAGCTAAGGAGCCAGAAACATTTATATATCATCACTTCATCATACCTTCTTCTGTTAGGCCAAAGCAGCCAAATTCTTCTAATTTCCCTTTGTTAGACACACTTGCTATTCATCACCCTTAGCAGCCCTTTTCTACACCTCTTCTGGGTTCATTTTAGCTTATTTGAATCAGATTCCTACCCTCTGACATATTTTAGGACTGCCCTTCTCACAGCAGCATTACCCTAACTGCTCATGCACGTATGACTAAACAGCTTTTGCAAGTGTTTTCCATCTCAGTTATTTGTTACAAACTAGGGCTGATCAAATTTTTTTGTTATCGCTTCACAAGACTATAACCTTGTACTACTGCACTTGATTTTGTTTTTACAGGATAATCTATGTGTAAACGTCCTTCCTCTGCAGCAACAATACCTCACAGGTTTTGCTATCAAAAGATCCTATTGCTGCTATTTTTATTAATGAAAATTAACCAAGTCAGCCTCCCTTCTCTTCAGCACTGTGTTTTCTCCTTCCCCAATAGCTTCTTACAATCTCATTTGTGAAGTTGCCTCTTCACTAATTCCTGCCATTTCACTAAAAATGCAATCCACTGAATTCTTTTTGTCTGGGGAATCAGTTATCTCTTAAAAGGAAATACTAAAATATTAGTCCAAGTCCATTTTTTCCTGGAGGAACATAGTAACACACCTAGATTTGTGTCTTTTTGCCTTCATATCTTTATCCTTTCATTCAAGACGCATTCTCAAGCCGTGCATAATACTGAAGATATTTTCTCAGACACTGTACAGAAAAATGAGCCTCCCTTAAGTCCCGATAACATTTTACCCTCAGTTACAATGCCCCTGGAATAAGTCAGATGTTCCTGAAAAATCTGCATCCATCCACGTTTCAGTATGTATCCAAGCTATCACAACATTTAGTAATTAGGTGTATGAAATAATATTCTACAAGGCACCAACAGCTAATAGCTACCGAGGCAGTTGAGCAAGCAGCATTTCCTCACCCATCACACCCCAAACATGAGTTATACAACCCACTAGCTGCAGTCCTTTCTCAGAGCACAAGCTCATAACCGAAACGACCATCTGCTGGACCTGACTGAACGTTTCCAACTTCTGTCGTACCGCCACACATATGAGATATAATACATAGCACACACACAAGTTGCCAGTCCATATTAAGAGCTGAAATTAAACAATCAGAGAGAGGAGATCGCAAGTAAGCTTGAGCTTGTTTCCTTTTGTTCATCACAAACGATCGCCCGTAACAGGCGCTTGATTCTGTAATTAGCCATTTCGCAAAACAAGTATGTTTATTGTTTGCCCACTGGGGCTGCATTTTTAGGATGCAGCTATGAATGCTGCGCTTGAAGTTTTCCAGGAATAGGATTTGTCCTCATTAAAAAAAAAAAAAAAAAAAAGAAAAAAAAAAAAGTACGATAGCGTTCAGTGGGGAAGAGCGATGTGCTGTATACAGCTCCCAGGCTGTGCTGGGGCCTCGCGTTCCCTGTAGAGCCCCCCTCTCCTCTCCCGCGCAGGCAGCGCTGCTCCCCACTAACATCGCCTGGGAGCGCTGCCGAGTTCCCGTAAGGGCCTGGTTACAGGAAGTTAGAGATGAAATTTTGGTCCCTAATTTTCAGATACACTTTGCAGTTGTTAAAAAGAGGCTGGAGGCTGCCTTTCCCAGAAGTGAGGCAGAAACAGGCATTAGGCCAGGTACTCACAATGTTGTATTTTGGAACCTTACATTAAATCATTATTGGCTCAGGCATTTAAGCTACTTGGGAGAGAGCATTAGGAAGAAAAAAGTTGCAGAGAGTGAAGTGCAGACTGCAGTCGTAGTGGATCTGACTCCTAGAAGGCTCAGTGAGGGTATGAGTGAGAGGGATTATGTCCTCTTAACGTCCATCACACATTTTGTGTATCACACAAAGCCTGGAATTGTTTCAGAATCCTAACACATCACATTTTGTCAAACAGAACATTTAAATCACAAAAGTGGAAGTCCTAAATATGTATCACTAGCAGATAGTCCTAAACTAACTTTTTATGTGCAAGTTAGAGATGCTGAAAAACAACACAAACCAAAAATCAGTATATGTTGTCACGTTTCCAAGTCAGGCCAAACAAACTTCTAAGATTTAATTTACACATTTATTTACAGTTTGAAAAACAAACATTCCCATATCACCTATCAAAATATTTACACTGTGCCATGAAGTTACAGTGTCTGCACAGAGACGTACTGAAGTGAATCTGAAATTCCATATACACAAATTGCATGCACAAAGTTTGCAGTTAACAGAATTAAAAAAACCCCACTTGTACGCTGTAACTGAATCTTCAGATCAAATCCATCTCAAATTAAAACGGATGCAGCAAAAGTTACATAAAAATACCTGTATAATTATCAGTTACAATTTATCATGTCTAAAGAATTCCAGTGTGAAGCTGTTGTCTGCATTAGTGAATGCTGCCATCTGGATTCTGCAATCTTTATGCCCCCCAGCACCAAAAAGTGGCAATGTGCAAGGATTACAAAAGGGTCAAATCTTAATTGAAATATTCTAAACTATGGACTTCCTCAAAAGAAAATGATTGCCTGCTCCACTGTATTCCTCCAAGATAAAATTTTGTAAGACATTAATACCAATAGGCAGATTTTTCATTTTAATAAATTCATTTGTTATTGGCTGTTGCCCTTGGTGAGTAAAAACTCTGGATCTGAATTAAAATCTATTAAAAGCTGGATGGAAACCTCTGACATCTGTACTCTAGGAGTCCTTTCTTCCCCATGCCCTGTAATGGTCTTTGGATATAATCTTCATCTACCAAGACAAAAACATGCCTGACCTGCGTACAGGTAGTCCCACTGACTTGAATGGGACTATTCACATGTTCAAACTGGGGCACCTGTTCTGTTACACTGCTGAACTGGAGCTGAAATAAGGCAGCCACCCAGAATATCTTGACTGTCTCCAGCTATGGTAGTGAACTGAATAACTACAGCTGTCTCATTGTATCTTTACTAAGCTTTAACTTCACAAATACTACCAAAGATACAGTTAAGAGCAGTCATCATGTTTAAATTTAAAATAACCACAGTATCTGTTTAAACTTCGCAGGTAATTTTTTTTATATTATTCAAGGAAAGGGCTAACTCTTCTGTTATAGACAAATAAATAAAATGGAAAAATAATTCAAAGAAGCCATAACCTGGAAAAACACTTTAAGGTATTATCAAAGAATGAGTTAACTTTTTTCAATCTGTTTTGAAGTTTATTATGGTTTAGATTAATACCACTAATAAATGAGTTGTCTATTTCTCAGTGAATCAGTTTTAAATTAAGGGTTTACAAAGCCTCTTTAAGAGACCTCTTTTTTGTCTTTAATTTTAAAATAATTCCTAGCTTTATGTGGTATACATGTAAGTAGTGGTGAAACTGGTGCATCAGCCATACCTGGAGAGAGATAGAGACAGATAATTATATCTTAACTCAACCAATACTGACCTTTTGTAACTGTTATAAAACTAAAAACACAGCTTGGGTATCTATGTACAAACTAGTAATTCCAAGAACAAACTGGTATATATTTAGATATAAGTTTTTATAGTAGTAACATTATTCTTCTACTCAATTCCTACATATTTCTAAACAAACTGTGAAAGTTATCGCTTATGCAAGATACAAGCAGAATTTAAGATGACAAAAATATTTAACTGTGGATTTTCCTCCATTTTATAGAGTTGGACACTTACCCTCTGGTGCCAAGGATTTCAGGGATTCTAAGAGATGTGGACTAGAAAACTTGACCAGACATCTGAATGGTACTTTTCTATTCAAAACATTCATTTGAGGATCACTTTTAAATATTGTCTCAAGCTGTTAACACAAAATTTAACCAGGGAGTATAAGAAATGAATATATTTTATTTATATGTTCTCATTTAAACATTACATTAACAAGGTAATATGTAATAAGACCATATCTTATTTATCTATTATTCCTAATATTAACATTATTCCAGCTGGAGGAATATTTTAATAAATTCAGAGGGTGCCACCATGTGGTAAACAGTTTTCTGCTGAAAGAGGCAGCTTGTTCAGTAATACTATAAAACATTAACTATCTCTCAGAATTTGCAATATTATCTGTTTACCAGGTAAAATCTGTGCATCATCCAAGAAGTTAAATTATGGTGTTATATGTAGCATGAGCTTTGTATGTAATTCAAATAACTTTTCTCATGCTTCAACACACCACTGGTGTAAGTCTACCTTTATTACAAAACCAAGTCAAAATGCTTAGTTCACAAGGCTGAAACATGATCTAGGAGTCTGACCAAATCTCAGTGCAAATCTGTTTAAAATACTTCAATTTATTTTAAAATATGTCCTCCCTAAAATTTGAAGAAATACTTGATTTTTCTTAATTTGCAATTTAATGTAGCTACTACTATATTAAAGCTATAAAAAAAAGAAAATTTGTTGCTTCAACTACCTTATATTGTGCAAATTCGAGTTTTGGTTGGGGACCATCACCAAAAACTTCTGAATTCACTCTCTTTATTCTTTCTTTCTCATTTTTGTTTTCTTGAATTATCATTAAATCTGATGCAGGGGAAGAGTAGGGAAAAGCAGAGGGGAAAAAAAAACACCAAAACAAAACAGAAAGACAACTTTGTCAGTTGATACAATACTGTTTTTCTGATCAGGTGATTACTCCAGTAAAAATCTGAAAATAATTTAAAAGAATTCATCACAATCTTTTTCTTTCATAAGCTAGTTGTCTTCATCGTTTATATTTTCAGCTCTTACTGAGAGAAAAACCAAAGCTAATATGAAAGGAGATATGGAGAATTGGGTATTTTTGGTTTCATAACCGTGTCCATGGGGAAATAGCTCTCCTAGTGACAGCCAGCATTACGGCACACCCCCCCACCCCCGGGATGGATAATACAGTGCGAATGTAACAGATGGACATTTCCTGTTATGAATCCCATTTCATAAGCCAGTAGTAATGACATTCAAACTGCCACTTAATTTGAAATATACATACCACTTTCTGGTGCTACATTTCTTTCTTGTAGAGGTTTTGGATAATAACTTTGGAAGTTCTAAATAGGGAGAAAAAAGGAAAAAAAGGTTTTAGTTCAATTCCACTTTTAGAGACTGTGGATGAGAAGAACTTTCCAGATTTCTTTTTACTTCTCATTCTAAAAGTGAATATTCTTCCAATTTTTGACAATTACTAGAAGTGAGAAAGCCCAGCTTTGTTTTGAGAAAAGAAAAGAATGCCTGTCCTATGGTATGTGTGGACATTTCCCTGTTTACAGGTTCTACATGGATGAGCAGAGTAAGTGGCCATTCTAATAGGCTTCAACTCATTGCTCTAGGAAGCCTAGTGAAATCATGCTAAAAAATCCTGGGATTGAACTGTTCATACAATTTTTAGACTGAGTTTAACCATTAGGAGTAACAATAAAGACCAGGTGGGATACCAAGTAATTATATCGCCAACGTAATGTTACCTTAATGAAAGGCCATCCACCTCACCTCAGTAGTTCAATATTAAACTTGATGGTCTCTCAGGAGAGATGAATTTTCCCCCTGCTAGGGGGTGAGAACTCAGCCTGAAGCAAAAAGCAAGACTTAATCTTAGGATGTACTTGTGAAGGGGCTCACCTGGCTATAACTCTTAAACACAATATCTTTAAGGGAGTTTAAATAATGACTTCGAAGCTCCATTTCACGGATGTCATGGTAATTGGAAGCAGCAACCAGGGCCTTTAAATAAAAATAGAAATTGTTTTAATGTCAGTCTTAATCATCACTGTGTTTATAATATGGAAAAAATATAGTATTTCTAGACATTGTGATGTCTTTTGTTTCAAGGTAAGTGACTGCCTTTTAAACTAGCAGGACTCTCAGTAGTAACCAGATAAGCCTGTAGCCTTATCAGCTGAAAAATAAATAAATAAAATACACAGGTTAATACAATAATTAAATTACTAGTACAGAAGTCTCTAGAATAGATTAAAAAAAATAAAGCCTACTAACACTGGTTATCACAAATTGACAGAAAATGTCTTTTTAAACTAATTAATAGCATTCCCTGATAAGCTCATACATCTAGTTCTTGAAGTTAACTGTGGTGATGTAATATTCTTCAACTTCTACAATTTAACTGAATATTGCCTAACATTTGATTAAGAAATTAGAATAATTCAAGGTCATCAAAAATACCAATAAACTTAATTTATTCACCATTCCAAGGGTTAAAGATTGTTTCCCCCCATTTTTATCATGAGTTAAAGGAAAAAAATGACCACATAAATTGATAAATTACATTACAAGTGATTAATCTTTACTCATCCTCTTAAAAGCTAACACAATTATAGCTGTACAAAACTGTGGTGAAGTCAGGGTCCACATGGTTTTATTCTGTACCTGACATAGCAGGGGCAAGTTGCTCTTAAGAACTGAAACAGAAATGAAGACATAGGGAGTCTGTGAGTGGTATACAACATAGCTGGTTTTGTACTGGTTTGGTTTTGTATATGGTGTTCCCCAAGCAATTCTAATCCAGATTGCATTATCCTCATATTCTCTAAAGTTGATGGTGACCTAAACAGAAAAATAAAAGCTTTGATATACCTACACATTCAGGAACCCAGAAAGATTTTGTTAACTATTAACCCCGTGTTCACAAGACCCAAACATGTTTTAGTGCACCACTGCTTGAAAAAAACAAATCCCACTACTATAGTCAGAATTGTATTTAAATCAAATTTCCACAGAAAAGCTATAACCTCACAAACTTGAAAAAATAAAAAATCATCATCATCTTTCAAACTCTTCCTGTTGCTTTACATTTTCTTCTGAAGGGTGAAAATAAAAATAGCTTATTAAAAAAGCATTGGTTCTCTCTTTTGGGAAAGTAACACCACAAAAAGCAGTGTCTATTTAGATGGAGGGCTAGTAGCATTATTTCCAGTATGTCCAATGTTTTAGAAAGTACTTTTCATCAGCTTGTGATTTTAGGCCTGAATATAATCTTTGTCACTGCTCAAGAGTACACAATCAGAAGTTTGAAGAATATTCCCTTTCCTGTTTTTGTAGATTTGCTCCTTGGTTACTTCTTTTTACCTTGATTCAACCTTGGTGACATAAAAGTGGGAAAACTTCCTTTAAAAAAACAAACCTCCCTTTGACTGAGGCACATACAGTCAAGATTTTAGTTCAACCAGGTTGTAAACTGTTTAAATTGATGGACCAACATCACTTTTCAAGGTTTGTGTGGATCTTTTTTAAAAAAATTGAAATAATGCAAAACTATTATAATAAGTGAACTGCAGCTGATTATCTGTTAGTCTGATTTGTATTTGTTGCCCTCTACTGTTGTCAGTGGGAATCCTTTGTGAGTCAAGAAGTGACAGCTTAGTAGCCAGAAGCATCTTCTATTACTTTGTTTAAATGAATCTGGTAAGCTAAAGCAAGAAAAGGATGCTGCAAATTTGAGTGAGATGATAGTTATTTCCTTTCCATTTTTTTCTTACCATGCTTGATTCTGTAGTCTAGAAACTGCTTCTTGCCACTGACAGTGGTCTTCCAGTCATTGTAACATAATGAAATACCAGAGCCAACTCTCACAGCCATCACAACATATAATTTCAAAACCAGAACTAAAAGAAAATGGATACAATTTTGCTACTAATCTAAGCATAACAACTGAACTTCCTTGTCCTTCTTACTCACTACTTCAAATTCCCCCTATACTCTGATCCTATTTGTGTGTTGTTTTTGTATTGTTATTAGGTAACAAGACAAAGCAGTATCATGTTACCTAGGCAACACATACACTCAAACAAAGACTTGGTAAAAAAAAATACTGCCTTTCTTGAAGTCAGTCATATTTTAAGGCAAACTTACATTTTATTTCACTCCAGCATAATTGTAAAGTTGCTAGAACAGTACATTTTTCCTATTTCAGATGGAGCTTCTACCATTTCCAAATTAACAATTCCATTTAATTTTTGATGCTGACTGTAAGAAAAAGATACCTCACTAAGGTTATGAAAACAATCTATTGACACCAGAGCTGTGTAATACATTTAGAATGCATTTATTCTTACATTTGTTAAGGCTGACTGAAGTCGTCTTTTAAATTTTTTTTTGAAATCTGTTAAGTCAAAAAAATCCGTTTCTTCCCCTGTTATGCAAGGAAAAAAAAAAAACAACACAAAACAACAAAACCAAGAATTGTGTTTACAAGAAGTGGTTCAGAGATGTTTTTACAGTTTTGCTTAAACAAAATTAAGTAGAAAAAATTCAAGTTGCATAGCCTTATACAAAAAGCTGTATATTAAATCTGAGCCTCATTATTACTGTGTAAAAGTTTAATATTTAATTATTAATTACTGATTTCTAAAAATTGCTTGAAAAGTTAATCACAAGTATTCTAAAAACATTAAAGATATCTCTAGACTATATGAGTATTTAAAATGTATAATATGAGGTAGCATGGCAGTAAATCGCTGAGAACTGGGAAATGACAGCAAGGAAAGGCATTTTACCTCTTTTGTTCATCTGGTAAACACTCCACAATCTTTTGTTTGAGTAGATGTAGTTGTCTAAGAAAAATAGGAATTGCTCAATAACAAAGCATATTATCAAGTGCTAATTAAAAGAACAACTAATTTTACTTTTATGACCAGGTTATTTCTAAAAGATTACTTTTGATAACGGAATACAGTTTATTCAGCATTCTATAACTACCACTCATAGTAAACCTAAAAGCAAAATATTTTTTTAAATAAAAGAGATATGAAGATTTTAAAAATTCCATTAAGCAATTAATAAAGGGTATCTCTGAGGTTCAATGTTTAAAGAAGGATTTTACTTAAAATGACTGGAACTCAGTCTAAACTCAAACTAGGAAATATAGACTGTTAAACGAAACCTTAAGATTTGAACTATTATACAATCAAGTTGTGATTTAGTGTTGGAGTTAGAGTTCTACCTGGAGTATTTGCTAATAATTTTGTCTATGTCACTCCGTATTGGAGCACGGTATTACTGGTTTTAGGGTTCGGTGCACACTGGAGTCAAACACATCTCTACATTTATTGCTTGATGTGGCTTACTGCAGTTTACATCTGTTTAGAGTTTTGAAGAAGAAAACATACTTTTGTTGATTTTCAGCTTTTGATTTTTTTTTTTTAAAAAAAGGTTGGATTCAGTAAGATTCACCATCTGAAATGTAGTATGTTTACCCCAATTGCATCTGTACCACACTAAGGCAATTACTATGTAATTAAGGGCATTACCAAGTTACTAAGAAGAAAACCCAAAAAGGTTATCTTTATTATTTTACTTACAAATTATGTCCAAGACAGCTGCTTGCTTGATGCCTGCAGCATTTTCCTGGAAAGAAGAGTAACAATGCATGGTAAACTGCAGGTCCAGAATGCTCTACCACATAGTAAGTGAAACACATCAATACTGCCAGATTAAATTGCATTGAGCTGAAGTTCACAGCGTGTACTCTCTGCTCAAATACACCACACCTAGTCCCCATGTGCACACAGCAGTTTTGAGAAATCAATAATGAAAGTTATTTCAGCAAGGTTTAAGTGTTCCTGCAGAGGCAGCAAGAAGAATGTTGTCCTTATAGGATGATGTACAAGCAATTAGAAAGTAAAACTCATGGGTATTCGTGACATTATGCAACAGTGACTAGTATTTCACTGTCAGAAATTTTAATATGCTTGATTCCTTCTTATTTAACGTTTACAGAATGAAAAGATTTTTAAGAAACCTTATGACACTACTTGTTATAGAGAAGGATGTTTCAGAAACAATCGCTATTTTAAAATGACATTTGCTATCTTATGAGAATAATTTAACATTTTTTTACCTTCAATTTGGTCTACACTCCATGTAATTAATCTTCAAGTGTGAAATTAAAAGGAATTATACAAAAATCTATAGAATTTGAGAGATACCAGCAATAACTGTATCTATTTGGGTTATGATACTACATATTAAGACTGCTAGTACATATAAAGATTCCTAGTACACCAAAATCAGAGCATGTAAGGAGAGCAGGAAACTTTTCTTTGCTTACACTACACAGAAGTAGTTCTGGCCAATTAAATTTTTCCAAGGAATAGGAGTAGTCTAAAAGATATAAACTAGTGCTATCGTGACCCATACAAATTAAGATTTAAATCATCACTACGTAACAAGTAGACATCCTAATCAATACCTTTATTTTACAACTTAGAAATACACCCATTTTTTAAAGGTTTAACACAGTGAGCTTTTGTCTACCTTATGCAACTCAGAGCTCAAAACATGTATTTTCATACTTAGCAAGAGTCAACGCTGCACTCCAGCCAATCAGACAAAATTGATGGTATTACCAGCTCAGCTTTACATTTTTCAAACCACAAGCTGCCATTTGATACTGTGTTACAGCCAAAGAAAATTCGTTTCTTCATAAGAATGTTTTTTTGACAGTGCTTCAACACGCATCCTGTATGTCACTGACAGGCAATTCAATTCCTGAAGGAAAGGATTACCTCACAGAGTTGAACAACATCTTGAGAGATACTGTCCTTTATCTGACAGAAGTTTATGGCTTGCAGTTGCGCCTCAGAGAGAAAGCCCCATTGCTGCAGCATTGTCCTGATTTGATCTCGTGGGATTTTCAGTACAGTTCTTCGAATATACTCGGCAACAATTTCATCCATGATGAAGCCACCTGAAAAGTTAAAACGTTTAACAAATTAAGACAGCACATAAATTGATAAATAATCTGCACAGACAGGCTCAGGAGATTTGCTTCCTTAGTAAGGGATAGAAAGCTACACATAGGCACTAGTAGAACACTGGCATCAGCCCTAGCGTGGCATTGCCACAGATTTCGGCAGATAACAAAGACAGCGAGTTAAAACACTTTCTACAACAATTTTTCCTCACTGATGGAGGGCTGGTGCGACCTTCTGGAAAGGGAGGGGCACCGGCCCTCACTCAGTGCTGTTACCGCCCGCCCGGTCCGACGAGTGTCCGGAAGGCCCCAGAGAGCGGGCAGGGACAAAAGAACCGCGCAGCCGAGCGGGACAGGACACCACAGCCCTACCTGCCCCGCGCAAGGGAACGGGACAGGACACCACAACCCTACCTGCCCCGCGCAGCCGAGCGGAACGGGACAGAACACCACAGCCCTACCTTCTCCGCGCACACCGTCACGGCGGCGGCAGCAATTACCGCCTCTGGAGCCG